AGTCCTCTTTCGAAAGAGCCTCTTTCGAAAGATACTTTCGAAAGAGCCTCTTTCGAAAGAGAGCGTCTAGACTGCACGTTGAACTTTCAAAAAAGCGGCTTGCTTTTTCGAAAGAAAGCATCCAGTGAGTCTGGATGCTCTCTTTCGAAGAAGCCCTATTTACATTGAAGAACGCCTTCTTTCGAAAGAGGAACTTTCGAAAGAAGGCGTTCTTCCTCGTGAAATGAGGTTTACCACCATCGAAAGAAAAGCCGCGTTCTTTCGATTTAATTTCGAAAGAACGCGGCTTGAGTCTGGACGCAGGGGAAGTTTTTTCGGAAAAAGGCTACTTTTCCCGAAAAAACCCCTGAGTCTGGACACAGCAGTGCGCTGATCGCTCTGAGATGTTACAATTTATATACAGATTAAAATATCTGCAATATAGACTTTCACAATTCTCTCCTCAAACCTGAGCAGACTTCAAAAGTCAAAGATGTTTTCCCACTGATTCTTAATGGAATTAAAAAAGTAGAACACTCATTAAAATGAGTGCTCACTGCAGTAAATTTAATATAGTAAATTTAGGCTTTAACACGGGTTGTCAATTTCAAATTTAATTTTAAACAGTTTTAAAAGAAACTTAATTGCAATAAAAATAAAACAACAATTTTTATTCACCCTGCCATCAGGGTATGATACAATGCATACATTTTTTGCAAAACTAGCTATGTGATTGTTTTTCTGCCCTTGTTTCTTTTAGGGATGGCTATGTTTAGCTGACTTACAATTAACCAATAAGCCTAGCCTTATCAGATAATCTCCTCAACTACACACATTCCCCTGCACCTCCTTGCTGCCTCTGAATCAGAGGAAACAAGCGGGGGAGGAGCAGGAACCAGTGCTGGGGGGGTGCTTGCTTAAAGGCCGGTTTCTCAAAGCACTGGCTCCACAGTGCTGCCTGCTCCCTTTCCCTCTCCTCCCAGCGCTGCCACCTCCATCAGAGGCAGTGGGGGAGACTACTGCAAAGCAGCCTCTATCTGTGGTGAGCCTGGACCTGTTGCTGGCAGAGGTTGCCCCATGGACAGAGGCAGCCTCTATCCGTGGGGCACTTGGACCACCAACAGACATGGGCTGCTGCCATCTGGTGCTGCTGCATCTGTATCAGAGGCAGCAAAGCTGGGCATCAGGCAGCCCGTCTGCGCAGAGAGCTGGTTTTTAAACTAGCTCCCTTCAGACCAGCGCCCCTGCCACCCCACACTATTGCCTCTGATACAGAGGCAGCAGCATGGAGTAATAGGGGGCTCCCAGCGGGGGCTCTTGTACATTTCAAAGAAGAAATGCAGAAGTGCTTATCAGCTAGTTGAGTAGTCGATGGAAATTCCATTGACTACTCAAGTAGTAAATTACTCGCTATTTAACATTTTTAGTCCCCATACGTACAGTGAGTTAGCCTGTGTGTAAAGTTACTCACATTCATGTTTTCTAGAAAGAAGCCCAAGACCTCTTTCCATCAACAAAAAAGAGAAGGGTTCCCATGACAGTAAGGAAGGAACTTCATAATTTAAAAGAGAAAACTCCCTCAAAAGGCCTGTATTTGCACTGTTCAAGGTTAGTCATATGCATGGAGATCAAAGAAACTTCAGATTAAACATGGATTGACAATTTTTTGTTATGACCAGGATAAAGAATTTTAGACATTTGTTGCTATACCTAGCAAACGTCTGCATCTCATGAGACTAATAGCTACAGAGGAAGCAAATGTTGCCAAAAGGAC